CTCTGCATGGAGAGTCTGGGGCGTCTCCAGGGAGGAGCAGATCTTACCCCCAGTGCTCCTCACCCTAATCCATGCCTGGGGACTAGTGACGACTCCTGGCAATTACTGAGAAGGTCCACATGGGCAGCTGAGCAGAGGGCAGGGAGAGTTTTCTGTGTTCCCTGTGGGAGAACCCAAGTTTACAGTGAAAGTCATAATGGGGAGGGACACTCACAGTGCACCAGGGCTCCCTTCACTGTTTCCTGTTGGGCATTTTCCTTCATCGTCTCACTTCTCCAAACTGTTCCAAAGTGTGTTCTCACTGATCATCAGCATGTGATCTGGAGGCTGGGCTTTCCCCTGCGTTTAAGTTCCACAGCCCATTGTATTTATGGTCTCAGGTCTGTTTAATCTGGAAAACGCCTCCTTTGAAGCCAGAGTTTTCCTCCTCAGAATCCTCAAGTCTCCCTTGTGTCCACATGACTCTGGAAGGACTTAGTCATTTGTTCTAACTCACCCATGGAACCCCGTCCTTGAGCCTCTCATTGGACCTCCAGTTGTACATGTGCTATGGGCCATTACTGCTGGAAAGAAGATTTCTGCACTCTGATGAGGAAAAACAGAGAGGTAACATTAGACTGTATGCTGCAGTCCATGGGGTCACAGAGTCGAACTTGACTTAGGGGCTGAACAACAGCATTAGAATACTTTAAATTGATCATGGCAATCATCACTTGATAGCTGTGAAAGGTTGTTGCTGAAAGATAAGATGCCAGGATTCTCGGCCTCCAGCGAAGACGAATTCAATCCAGGGGTAGAGACGAGGCTGGATCGCTCAGAGCTTTTGTGTAATAAAGTTTTATTAAAGTATAAAGGAGATAGAGAAAGATGCTGACACAGGCATCGGAAGGGGGCAGAAAGAGTACCCCCCTGCTAGTCTTCAGCTGGATGTTATAGAGTCACTAGCAGTCTGTTAATGAAAAGAAAGGAATGTCTTAAAACTCAGAATGGCACCAGGCCCCTCATCCATAAGTTGTATTTTGTGATAATCCTGGCACCAGATGATTCATCCCAGGCCATAAAACGATTGACTTGAATCTTGTAGAAGGGCAGATTACCATACAAATAGTTTCATTTACATAGATTGGGGAACAATATCTGAGTATAACATACTGGTTTGTCAAGTAGGTTCTGAGCCATTTGGTGGAACCCACTTGAAGACAGAGTCTGGGGTAAATGCAAAGCACATTAACATGGTTTAAGACAAAGATTTCCATAAGGAAAATGTATTGGTTAACTCAAGGTTTGAGAATATTTAGCTTCAAGTGAAGCCAGGTGTCATGGCAACACAGTATTTTAAGAGAAACCTCAAAAGAATAAAATACTTAGGAGTATATCTACCTAAAGAAACAAAAGACCTATACATAGAAAACTACAAAACACTGATGAAAGAAATCAAAGAGGACACAAACAGATGGAGAAATATACCGTGTTCATGGATTGGAAGAATCAATATTGTCAAAATGGCTATACTACCCAAAGCAATCTACAGATTCAATGCAATCCCTATCAAGCTACCAATGGTATTTTTCACAGAACTAGAACAAATAATTTCACAACTTGTATGGAAATACAGAAAACCTCGAATAGCCAAAGTAATCTTGAGAAAGAAGAATGGAACTGGAGGAATCAACCTGCCTGACTTCAGACTCTACCTCAAAGCCACAGTCATCAAGACAGTATGGTACTGGCACAAAGACAGAAATACAGATCAATGGAACAGAATAAAAAGCCCAGAGATAAATCCACGAACCTATGGACACCTTATCTTTGACAAAGGAGACAAGAATATACAATGGAGAGAAGACAACCTCTTTAACAAGTGGTGCTGGCAAAACTGGTCAACCACCTGTAAAAGAATAAAACTAGAACACTTTCTAACCACCATACACAAAAATAAACTCAAAATGGATTAAAGATCTAAATGTAAGACCAGAAACTAAAAAACTCCTAGAGGAAAACATAGGCAAAACACTCTCTGACATGAATCACAGCAGGATCCTCTATGACCCACCTCCCAGAATATTGGAAATAAAAGCAAAAATAAACAAATGGGACCTAATGAAACTTAAAAGCTTTTGTGCAACAAAGGAAACTATAAGCAAGGTAAAAAGACAGCCCTCAGATTGGGAGAAAATAATAGCAAATGAAGCAACAAAGGATTAATCTCAAAAATATACAAGCAACTCCTGCAGCTCAATTCCAGAAAAATAAATGACCCAATCAAAAAATGGGCCAAAGAACTAAACAGACATTTCTCCAAAGAAGACATACAGATGGTTAACAAACACATGAAAAGATGCTCAGCATCACTCATTATCAGAGAAATGCAAATCAAAACCACAATGAGGTACCACTGCACGCCAGTCAGGATGGCTGCTATCCAAAAGTCTACAAGCAATAAATGCTGGAGAGGGTGTGGAGAAAAGGGAACCCTCTTACACTGTTGGTGGGAATGCAAACTAGTACAGCCGCTATGGAGAACAGTGTGGAGGTTTCTTTAAAAACTGGAAACAGAACTGCCATGTGACCCAGCAATCCCACTTCTGGGCATACACACCGAGGAAACCAGATCTGAAAGAGACATGTGCACCCCAAAGTTCATCACAGCACTGTTTATAATAGCCAGGACATGGAAGCAACCTAGATGTCCATCAGTAGACGAATGGAAAAGGAAGCTGTGGTACATATACACCATGGAATATTACTCAGCCATTAAAAAGAATGCATTTGAATCAGTTCTAATGAGATGGATGAAACTGGAGCCCATTATACAGAGTGAAGTAAGCCAGAATGATAAAGACATTACAGTATACTAACACATATATATGGAATTTAGAAAGGTGGTAATGATAACCCTATATGCAAAACAGAAAAAGAGACATAGATGTATAGAACAGACTTGTGGACTCTGTGGGAGAAGGCGAGGGTGGGATGTTTCGAGAGAACAGCATCGAAACATGTATATTATCTAGGGTGAAACAGATCACCAGCCCAGGTTGGGTGCATGAGACAAGTGCTCGGGCCTGGTGCACTGGGAAGACCCAGAGGGGTCAGGTAGAGAGGGAGGTGGGAGGGGGGATCGGGATGGGGAATACATGTAAATCCATGGCTGATTCATGTCAATGTATGACAAAAACCACTATAATATTGTAAAGTAATTAGCCTCAAACTAATAAAAATAAATGAAAAAAAATAAATAAGAGAAACCTCCTTTTAAATTTGTATAGAGAAGGGAAAATATCACTAGTTTGTTTCCTCCTGCCGCTTAACAGATAAAAATGTCTGACACTTGCAGCCTATTTCCTCCATTTGGAGATGCCTGGCCTTCCTGCCTGTTACCCTCTCAGTTGGATCTTGGGTACCAGTTCCCTCAGCTGGAAAATAGCCCTGAGTTCATCATTCTGAAGCCCAGAGGGCAGAAGGGGGTACAATCAATCATCCCCACTGGGCTCCTTCTGCAGGAGTTGATGCACTGTGGCCAGTGGACTTGTCCACAGTTCAGGTACATGGGTTTGAGAGGAGAAGGCAGGCAGATAAGATGGCCATGTCTGCTGAAAACATGCATGATTTAGTTGTGCATATGACTTAACCTGTGGGCTGATGACTCCTCCTCAGAAGCTGCCCCCACACATTTAAACACAGAACCTACTGTGTGCCGTCCCCAGGACTAGGTAACGAAGGCTCAAACAGAAACGCTCACGGTCCTGTTCCTGAGATATGCGATGCTGGTTACACGAAATGCCATGGTCATCATCAGACTCTTCACTCAACTGGTGAAAGGGTCTTGATTTCGCTGTCTATTAAGGTAGCTCCAGTCCCACGTGGCTACTGAGCCCCTGAAATGGGCTCGTCTGAGAGATGCTCTGATTGTAAACGCACACTGGACGCCAAGCGTCTGCTAAGACAGAGAGACAGTAAGCTACCTTTTCAAGAACTTTTCAGAATTGATTATAGCTTGTGCTCAGTCGCTCACTTGTGTCCGACTCGTTGCGACCCCATGGACTGCCACCCGCCAGGCTCCTCTGTCCATGGGACTCTCCAGGCAAGAACACTGGAGCGGGCTGCCATGCCCTCCTCCAGGGGGTCTTCCTGACCCAGGGGTCCAGCCTCCGTCTCCTCTGTCTCCTGTGTTGCAGGCAGATTCTTTACTAGCTGAGCTATCAGCGAAGCCCCCATCCTTAATAAAATCTCACTTATTCCAGAAATAAGTCAACACTTGATGGGATTAAGGAGGTGGGATGTAAATAAGGAGGAAATAGGAACCATATTCATAAAATCCCCTTGCAGGGGAGCTGAGTGGCAGTGGGGGCACGTGGAGGCCACAGGCGAACCTAGTGGACTTGAGGTGGGCCCACCTCATGGAATTTCTTTTTCACGTCTCCGATTTCTCCAAAAGACAGATTTGAGAAACATGGTCTGCAGTATGGAGGCATTTGTTAATTCAGCAAGTATTCTTGAGGTCAGCTCAGTGCCGGGCAGTGTGTGTACTCTGTCCTGAGAGAAGTCAACTGACCCTGGCAGGGTCTTCTTCACTTCCTTTATCATCACAGCTTCACAGTGTACGCAAGATCGTGACTTTTCCCCATTGACTTCATCAACCTCTCAGGTCGTGCCAGGCCTCCTGTCATGGCCAGGAGGGTCCTGCTGGGGTCAGAAGGCTCAGCAACGTGCAGTAGAAACGGAATACGGCATAGTCACTGTGCACTTGAAATGAATCTGTGTTTTTCAGCTGTTGAATGAAACTGATTGCATGCACACAGTTTTACTGTTGAAACAAGTCTTGTTTTCATAATATAAAGAACCTCCATCACACACTAGGTTACAATTACAGAAAATTAAAAGAAAACTTTTGGAAATTGATCTGAAAAAAAAACAACCAATAATGGAAATAGAAATAAGTCCGGAAACCACAACACTACTTCTGGAAATGTAAGCTTCCCTTATACCATTTGTGTTAGTGATTCATGAACTATTCTGTAATTTTCTGCTGCGCTTTTGCGTCACGCGGGCAGCAAACGGGGACGTCCCGGCCACAGCCCCGCGCACACGACAGTTCTCTCCCCGTGCCTCGGCGGTCGGGGCCACTCGCTTTGCCCCGGATTCGGCGAGGACCGCCAGTGCCCAGACTCACAGGGCAGATCCTCAGGAAGCTCTGGTCGTCCTGGCTCGGATGCGATGCAGAGAAAAACGGGCGCAGCGGCTCCGCAGCCGGAACTTGAGTGAATGTAACGATATGGGACCTCTCGCCAACGCGGTAGGAGGAAACGATCCCGACATTCAGGAAGACCCCCGCTCCGTGCAGCCGGGGGCTCACCCTGAGCGCGGCGCAGGAAGGCTCGCTGCAGGCGGAGAACACGGCTCCGTCTCTCAAACTCACGGCCGAGAAGCCGCGTCTCCAGTCGGCCGCGTCTCCTCTCGCCGGCGCGCAGACTCGCGGCAGACGCCCAGGTGCCCTCGGCCGCACCCCGCCTCCACCTCCGGGAGTGGCGTCGGAGGAGAACCGCGGGGAGCGCAGGGCGCTAGTGGTGCGGCTCAACCTCTGAGGTCTCGGCTCCTTCTGCTGCTTGTAAACCCGCAGCGGACATGTCTCAGGTTCTCGGGAATGAGGAGGTACTCAGTGGCCGGGTCAACGTCCAAGGGCGCGTCCACGGCGGGCAGAAAGGTCAGCAAGCGCGGACGCGGGACTCGACACTTCGTGCCCTCGGGGTGGGGGTGGGGTCACGTGGCTCACTCTGCTCACTTCCATAACTCGGCACTTCTCACCCAAGCAGAGGGCTCCTGCTGATGCTCCCCTGAGCCTGATGAGAAAGTTCCACGTATAAACTGAATGATTAAAGAGATACAGTTCCATGTATAAACTGAATGATTAAATGGAACCGGTCTTTCTCATTCATGCCCATGTTCTCTTTGCATTAACTGGATTATTTGATTCAAGACTTCTTCTGTTTAGAACATGGTATGCCTCAAAAAAAAAAAAAAAATCCTTGGGTGTTGATTTTCCTCAAAATTGTCCAATTGAGACAGACTTTGTCAAAATACAGACACTGAATATACACCTGAATGGTGGTGATTTGACGTGTCCCAGAATAATGTTGGAATAGTAAGGTATCTTTTCTTCTTTTTGCATCTTCTCTTTCTGTAAATGAACAACAAGCAATTGCATTCCAGTCCTTCCCATTCTCTGAGTTGTAGAAAATATAAGGAGACGTCTCAGAGGTCTCTGGATGAGGGGGTTAACTCTGGAAGTCAAGACAGAGGAAGGGATTCCCGAGGACACGGGAAAGGATGGGCTTGGATACTGTAGTGACTCAGACCCAGAACTCCATGCGGCTGGGCTCAGAGGGCCGGGCGGAAGGACTAGGTACATTGGCAACATCTCGGCCTAACCCTGTGATGAGGAGGGGGGCTCCACCCGCCTGTCCTGATGTGACCGTGTGGATGGGGCCACACTTTAGTTCAGTTGCTCAGTCATGTCTGACTCTTTGTGACCCCATGAACCGCAGCACACCAGGCCTCCATGTCCATCACCAACTCCCGGAGTCCACCCAAACCCATGTCCATCGAGTCAGTGATGCTATCCAACCATCTCATCCTCTGTGGTCCCCTTCTCCTCCTGCCCTCAATCTTTCTCAGCATCAGGGTCTTTTCAAATGAATCAGCTCTTCACATCAGGTGGCCAAAGTATTGGAGCTTCAGCTTCAATATCAGTCCTTCCAATGAATATTCAGGACTGGTCTCCTTTAGGATGGACTGGTTGGATCTCCTTGTTGTCCAAAGGACTCTCAAGACTCTTCTCCAACACCACAGTTCAAAAGCATCAATTCTTCTGTGTTCAGCTTTCTTTGCAGTCTAACTCTCACATTCATACATGACCACTGGAAAAACCATAGACCTTTGTTGGCAAAGTAATGTCTCTGTTTTTTAATGTGCTGTCTAGGTTGGTCATAACTTTCCTTCCAAGGAGCAAGCGTCTTTTAATTTCATGGCTGTAATCACCATCTGCAGTGATTTTGGAGCCCAGAAAAATAAAGTCAGCCACTGTTTCCACTGTTTCCCATCTATTTGCCATGAAGTGATCGGGCTGGATGCCATGATCTTAGTTTTCTGAATGTTGAGCTTTAAGCCAACTTTTTCACTCTCCTCTTTCACTTTCATCAAGAGGCTCTGTAGTCCTTCTTCACTTTCTGCCATAAGGGTGGTGTCATCTGCATATCTGAGGTTATTGATATTTCTCCCGGCAATCCTGATTCCAGCCTGTGCTTCCTCCAGCCCAGTGTTTCTCATGATGTCCTCTGCATATAAGTTAAATAAGCAGGATGACAATACACAGCCTTGACATACTCCTTTTCCTATTTGGAACCAGTCTGTTGGTCCATGTCCAGTTCTACTGTTGCTTCCTGACCTGCATATAGGTTTCTCAAGAGGCAGGTCAGGTGGTCTGGTATTCCCATCTCTTTCAGAATTTTCCACAGTTTATTGTGATCTGCACAGTCAAAGGCTTTGGCATAGTCAATAAAGCAGAAATAGTTGTTTTTCTAGAACTCTCTTGCTTTTTCAATGATCCAGCTAATGTTGGCAATTTGATCTCTGGTTCCTCTGCCTTTTCTAAAACGAGCTTGAACATCTTGAAGTTCACGGCTCACGTATTGCCATATAGTTGTTCATAATAGTCTCTTATAATCCTTTGTATTTCTGCATTGTCTGTAGTAACCTCTCCTTTTTCATTTCTAATTTTGTTGATTTGATTCTTCTTTTTTTCTTGATGAGTCTGGCTAAAGGCTTGTCAATTTTGTTTATCTTCTCAAAGAACCATCTTTTAGTTTTATTAATTTTTACCATTGTTTCTTTTTCATTTATTTCTGCTAGGATCTTTATAGTTTCTTTCCTTATGCTAATTTGCAGGGCTTTTTTGTTCTTCCTTTTCCAGTTGTTTTAGGTGTCAAGTTAGGTTGTCTGTTTGACGTTTTTCTTGTTTCTTGAGGTAGGATTGTATTGCTACAAACTTCCTTCTTAGGACTGCTTTTGCTGCATCGCATAGGTTTTGAGTTGTCAGGTTTTCATTGTCATTTGTTTCTAGAAATTTTTTTAATTTTCCTTTTGATTTCTTCCATAACCTGTTGGTTATTTAGAAATGTATTGCTTAATCTCCACGTGTTTGTGTTTTTTACAGTTTTTTTTTCTTGTAATTGATATCGAGTCTCATAGCATTGTGGTTAGAAAAAAATGCTCGCTATAATTTCAGTTTTCTTAAATTTACTGAGGTTTGGCTTGTGACCCAAGATGTGGTCTATCCTGGAGAATGTTCCATGTGCACTTTAGAAGAAGGTGTGTTCTTCTGCATTTGGATTGACTGTCCTGAAGATATCAATGAGATCCATCTCATCTAATGTATCATTTAAGACTTCTCCTCCTGCCCACAATCCCTCCCAGCGTCAGGGTCTTTTCCAGTGAGTCAGCACTTTGCATCAGGTGGCCAAAGTATTGGAGTTTCAGCTTCAGTCCTTCCAATGAACACCCAGGACTGATCTCCTTTAGGATGAACTGGTTGGATCTCCTTGCAGTCCAAGGGACTCTCAAGAGTCTTCTCCAAGACCACAGTTTAAAAGACTTGTGTTTCCTCATTAATTTTGTTCTGATGATCTGTCCATTGGTATGAGTGTGGTGTTATAGGCTCCTACTATTATTGTGTTACTGTTAATTTCTCTTTTTATGTCTGTTCAGTTCAATCACTCAGACATGTCCGACTCTTTGCGAGCCCATGAACCACAGCATGCCAGGCCTCCCTGTCCATCACCAACTCCCGGAGTCCACCCAAACTCATGTCCATCGAGTCAGTAATGCCATCCAACCATCTCATCCTCTGTCGTCCCCTTCTCCTCCTGGCCCCAATCCCTCCCAGCATCAGGGTCTTTTCAAATGACTCAGCACTTTGCATCAGGAGGCCAAAGTATTGGAGTTTCAGCTTCAGCATCAGTCCTTCCAATGAACACCCAGGACTGATCTCCTTTAGGATGGACTGGTTGGATCTCCTTGCAGTCCAAGGGCCTCTCAAGAGTCTTCTCCAACACCACAGTTCAAAAGCATCAATTCTTCTGTGTTCAGCTTTCTTTATAGTCCAACTCTTACATCTATACATGACCACTGGAAAAACCATAGCCTTGACTAGATGGGCCTTTGTTGGCAAAGTAATGTCTCTGCTTTTTAATGTGCTTTCTAGGTTGGTTATAACTTTCCTTCCAAGGAGCTAGCATCTTTTAATTTCATGGCTACAATCACCATCTGCAGTGATTTTGGATCCCAGAAAAATAAAGTCAGCCACTGTTTCCCCATCTATTTGCCATGAAGTGATGGGACCGAGTGCCATGATCTTAGCTTTCTGAATGTTGAGCTTTAAGCCAACTTTTTCACTCTCCTCTTTCACTTTCATCAAGAGGCTCTTTAGTTCTTTTTCATTTTCTGCCATAAGGGTGGTGTCATCTGCATATCTGAGGTTATTGATATTTCTCCCAGCAATCTTGGTTCCACCTTGTGCTTCCTCCAGCCCAGCATTTCTCATGATATGCTCTGCACATAAGTTAAATAAGCAGGGTGACAATATACAGCCTTGACGTACTCCTTTTCCTATTTGGAACCAGTCTGTTGTTCCATGTCCAGTTCTAGCTGTTGCTTCCTGACCTGCATACAGGTTTCTCAAGAGGCAGGTCAGGTGGTCTGGTATTCCCATCTCTTTCAGTCTGTTAGTGTTTGTCTTAGGTTTTGACGTGCTCCTATGTTGAGTGCATAGATACTTACAATTGTTAGGTTTTCCTATTGGACTGATCCCTTGATCTAATAATCTTCTTTATTTTAACGTATATTTTGTGATATGAGGATTGCTACTCCACCTTTCTTTTGCTGCCCATTTTCATGAAATATATTGTTCCATCCACTCACTTTCAGTCTATATGTGTCTTTAGGTCTGAAGTGGGTTTCTTGTAGAAACACTTGTTTTTGTATCCATTCAGCCAGTCTGTGCCCTTTTGGTTGGAGCATTTAATCCATTTACAAAGTAATTATTGATAAAAATGTTCCTATCGCCATTTTCTTAATTGTTTGGGGTTTGATTTTGTAGATTTTTTTCTTCTCTTGTATTTCTTGACTACATAAGTCCCTTTAACATTTGTTGTAAATGGCAGAAAGTGAAAATGAACTAAAAAGCCTCTTGATGAAAGTGAAAGAGGAGAGTGAAAAAGTTGGCTTAAAGCTCAACATTCAGAAAACTAAGATCATGGCATCTGGTCCCATCACTTCATGGCAAATAGATGGGGAGACAGTGGAAAGTGTCAGACTTCTTTTGGGCTCCAAAATCACTGCAGATGGTGACTGCAGCCATGAAATTAAAAGACGCTTGCTCCTTGGAAGGAAAGTTATGACCAACCTAGACAGCATATTAAAAAACAGAGACATTACTTTGCCAAAAAAGGTCTGTCTAGTCAAGGCTATGGTTTTTCCAGTGGTCATGTATGGATGTGAGAGTTCGACTGTGAGGAAAGCTCAGCACCGAAGAATTGATGCTTTTGAACTGTGGTGTTGGAGAAGACTCTTGAGAGGCCCTTGGACTGCAAGGAGATCCAACCAGCTCATTCTAAAGGAAATCAGTCCTGGGTGTTCATTGGAAGGACTGATGCTGAAGCTGAAACTCCAGTACTTTGGCCACCTGATGCAAAGTGCTGACTCATTTGAAAAGACCCTGATGCTGGGAGGGATTTGGGCCAGGAGGAGAAGGGGACAACAGAGGATGAGATG